ATTTTATTCGTAAAGTTTATGAAAATTGTCCTTCATTAGAATATTTGTCAATTTTAATTTCGTCTACAAAGGAGAATTTCACTGAACTCGAAACATTACTAAAAAGATGTAAAAATTTAAAGTCATTATTAATAGTTATATTCGATAATTATGAGGATACTTACGAAGACAGCTTAAAATACGGGAAAGAACTATTAAAAATATTAATTAGATCGGCACCAACTAATTTTAAAGAAATTAGATTTGGTAGTGAATTCAAATTTTCTTTGGAAATGTTGGAAGAATTCTTGGAAAATTGGAGAGGTAGACGTGCACTTTCTCTATTTACTATTGATCCTATTTACATGAGAGAGGATTATACGGAATTAATCAATAAATATAAAAGTAATGGGGTAGTCAAAGATTTTGAATATGGTTCAATTAATTATCGTATTTAATGAGTTGTAAGATAAAATGTGTAACAAGAATTCAAAATATTATTTGTAAAAATTTGCAGTAAATGTTTTTTCTAAGATTATAATACTAGTTATTCTATCAACGTTTCGTGGATATCAGATCTGATTAATAATAAATTATTTTCTAATATTTTGACTTTTACATTTGCTGACATTTGTGACATTTGATAATTTAAATACCGTATATAAAATCTGAATTAATTATAAATAACGGAAAATCTCTTTTTCATGTTATTCCAGTAGTCAAACATCATAGTTGTCATAATGCGAATGAGGGAGCATTATGGATATTTTTTTAAAAGAATGTTTTTAAAAAAAATAAAATACCAAAGTTGTACCGCAAGAATTTACGTAATATTAAAAGAATCCTTGTTTGCTTCTTTTTATGTCTTGCTTTATAAATAAAATAAATAAAAAATGAGTGTTCCGAAAGGATCGGGTCAAACCCGGGTTATTGACCCTTAGCCCGGCGACCCGATGCTTTTTATTATATTTTTAACTAAAAATTTAAATTTTTTTATATTACTGTAAATACAACTTGACGGGCCGAACCCGGGTTATCTGAGTCAGACTATAATTGGGTCAAGTCGAATCCGGGTCATTACTTTTACGCTCGGGTCGAGTTCGAATACACCTCAAAACCCGACCCGATTCGACCCCTTCGTAACAATAATATGATGTAATGGAAGATTAAATTCTGGGAGCTTAATTGATCCAAAAACTAGAAAAAAAAGGTTTAGAAAATTAAATATTAAGTTATCGGTCAAAACTGAACGTTGGTCTGATAGATTGTGAATTCAAATTTCATCTGATCTGACAGACCTATGCGCGATATCGCAAGTGCACAAAAACCAAAACATATATATCTGTGAATCAAAAGGTAAGAATAAACTGAAACCCTTGTTTTGTTTTATCTATAATATAAAATTTATACTATATGTTCAGGATTAGAAGAAATCTAATGTGGAACCAGCGTTTTACTAAATCTATGCGGGAATGAAAAAGGGTCTATGAATGGGACTTTGGAATATTATCAATATTATCATTACTGCAATTGAAATATAGTTCATCGATGACTTGATTATAAATAGTATTTGTTCAAAAATTTTATTTTTTTACGTGTGAAATTAAAGGAATAGCGCTTTTATCGTGATTCATCTTTTTTCTTGTATGTATTTTCAAATCAAGCTCAAGAGTCATTATTATCCACAACTGAAAAATGTCCAAAAGAATGGGAATTATTTATATTTAATTGTTTATTTATTCATTTATTTACGTTATTAGAATTCAATGGATATGTTATCGAAAATTTTCCACGACATGGATATTTGGTAGTGTTAAAATTTTTTAGTGATTTTAATGATTTTAAAGAGCGTCCATCGATCAAAGATTTTGTGCTTCGATAAACTTTTTGTCAATCTTCGTCGTTAAGTAGTATAAGAAGTACTATATTACCATTGCCATATATCATATCAACTTAATTTCGATAATTAGACTGCTACAAATTATAGAATAAGATTAGTGTCACTTTTTATTCGCTTTCGCACAAGTGTAACGATATAGTGTTAACTATGGTAATAAATCTAATACTATCTTAACTCCTCCTTTCACCTTAATTTCATTTAACTAGTAGTCTGATCATGTGATTTAATGTGAAAATTTTTTTTCTTTATAGTCGTCCTTTCCAATAATAAAAGTTTTTAAAACTCTTTCAAAACAAAATTTTTTACACAAGAAATTAAATAAAAAAAAAATTTTTTATTGAGATAGATTTTTTATTGAGCCAGATTATAGATACTAGTACATTTACTTATATAAATGTACTGACCAAATATTTATATTTTCTTATTTCTAAAATTTTTGAAATAAGAAATTAATATTTTTTGAAATAAAAGAATCGCTATCTCTAATGTATTAGATGGTATATCCAGATAGTTATATTTGGTTTCTGCTTTAAATTTTTGATGTACCTGTTTTTACCATTTTTTATTAGGCTAAAAAAAACAAATTAGGTTAGTAAGCGTTACAGCGGCACCTAGTCACATGATTCATCAAGTGATCCAACAACACAGCAATAGGTTATTGCTTCATACAACTAACTTCTCTCCTAGATATTATTAAAATAAACGTGAGGCAGTATCCATTACAGACCTGCCAGTTCAATAGGGTTGCCATAACTCCCCTTATCATTGCATCCACTTGTTCTTTTTAACGACCAGGTCCATTGGTTGTTTTCACTTGAGTAGGTTAGTCTAATCTAACATATCTCACCTTTTTAGACTTTAATCTCCATTTTGTTTTTTAAAAAAAATTTTTTTTTTTTGCTTGTTCGACATTTGTTGTCCTGACCTTGGATTAAATGATACACCCTAGATATTTGTAAAAAAAATATTTATTACATAAAATTATTTGTTTGCATGAAAAAGAGTTTGTTACCTTTCTCTAAAGGAGGGAGAAAGAGGGAAGAATAAGAGGATGTGTAAAAAAAAAGAAAGAAATTTTTTTTTTTGTTGCACAAGCTTTTCATAATAAAAAGTATAATATTTGTAATCAACTCTTGCGGACTTGCAAAAATAAAAAAATATAAAAAATAGTTAAAAAGTATAAATATACAAATTTTAGCTGACAAAAAATATCAGTCCGTCAAAATCATTAACCAATTAATATTGAATATAATATCATTACGGAATTTTAATAAGTTAAATTAGTCATACTTCATTTTTACATCTTTTACAATAATGATCATATGATCAATACGTAATTAGTTGATTATTGAACAGTCCAATAATATGTAACACTTATTACGCTTATCAGACATCACGGTCATCACGTTTACACGAGGTATTCCATTATAAAAATTTTTTATTTTTTATTTGATTTTGATTTACGAATTTTTTTTATAAAAAATCAAAAATAATTAATCAATTTTTTTTTCTATTAAAAAGGATGGATAAGTAAATAAATGTATAGATAAAAGAATTCATTTATTTCACATTTTTTTTTTACAAGTAAAATGCCGACCCTCCTTTGTTTTATCAAAAAAAAAAATGTTAGCTATATCTGGACAGAGAATGGCTGCGCTTGAAGGTGGATCTAACGCTATTTTACGTCATCGGGCTGCACAATTCGTTGCCATATCAATGATTATATTACATTTATACGGGGAACTTACAGTACATTCAATTTAAGGTAATTATTTATTGTCGTAAACTAAAGTGACATTATATGTGTTAATTATTTCGAAAAAGTTGTAATTGGAATCCAATGTCAAATTCGTACAGGGTGATGATCCAGAGCTATATATCTTGAATCTTGGGTATCCGAAATTAATATTGTTAATATTCCAGATTTTGAAGCGTGAAAATACCAGTTACCGTTGATAATACCTCTAGTACTGGTAAGTAAACTGAAAGAGAATTTTTTTAGTTTGATTTATATTATATTATAAAATCTAATTAATTGATTTTATATATAGGTAGATAAGGACCCCGAGCAATATATATATAGGTAACAAGAAAGGTCAAAATTTTTATAATAGCTCTACGCAAGGTTTTTATTAAGATAAATAAGCAAACTCAACATGTGACTTCACAAATTGCCCAAAAATAAGCAATCTAACCATATGACTTTATAATATTATATTTTACAAAAATTATTTGATTAAATTTTCTCGCATTTATGATTTACAATTTCACTTTTTTCAATAGTAATATTATCTTAGCTAAAATATCCGTCTTAAAATTTTTTTCATCTTATTAGTATAATACCATCGCTTATATAGTTAAATGTTATATAATGCATTATTAAATAATACCAAATTTACTCAAAAAATAAGCAATTGTAATATATGACTTTTCAAAAATTCTGTGAAAATAAGGAAAATAAGCAAATGAAAAATATGACATTGGCAAAAAATATCATTAATTTTACGCAAATCTAACCTCTAACTGTGGCTAAAATAGCATGTGACTAAGCAAACGATATTGTTACCTATACATATATTGCTCGGGGTCCTGGTAGATATCTTGTTAAGCCAATTGAACATGGTGCAGATATTGTTCACAGTAGGTTTATGATCACCTCTTGATTAAGCGTCCCGTTCGTTAATCTTATGTTCATTCGTTAGGGATTGGATGTCATGGAACAACAATAGAGGTATAGTGATTGTGATGGAGGTAAATTCTCGTGGAATAATGGAAGATTCTCAATTTTCACTAATCCAAGTTCTGATTATCATGGGTTAATTTATTGGGATACATCTGGATATGTGCAACGTAGGTGTCAAACCCATTTGGATCATTTTTATTAATATAAGGCTTTGAACAAGCTGAAAATGCTTTAGAATTAGAAAAATGGTTAGAATCAAGAGATGATATCTTATAGGTTTCGTATTCAGGACTTGAATCACATCCTTATCATGAAAATGCTAAAAAATTTATGCGGAATGGATTTGGATGTATTTTGGCTTATGATGTTGCCGCATTTATTGATTCAGCTTTACAACTTGCAAGGTAAGGAGGTTAAACCAATTTAATTATTATTCACATGAAAATTGATTATTATTATTATTTCTTTAGTCATTTGGCAAATGTGGGAGACGCAAAAACTCTCGTGATACATCCTGCTTCAACGATACATCAACAATTAACGGACGAAGAACAATTATCTGCAAGAGTAAATAAAGAGATGTTACGCGTCTCTATTGGCTATGAACACATCGATGATATTAAAGAAGATTTTACAATTGCGTTTGAAAAAATTAAAGAAATCAATTAATATTCTTACTTTTTGTTCACGTAATTTTATTTTCACGTTCAGATAATAACAATAATATTTATCTTATATCTAGATTAAAAGAACACTCATTATTATTATTATAATTATTTTTTTTTTTTAATGGGGAATTCGAGTCAAAAATATTGATTCATTAACATTTATAATAGATAAAAAAAAATAAAGTTTATTTTTGAATCATTATACACTGATACACATTTATGCAAAATGATTTTCAAGTGTAACCTACACGCTAGACATGTTTTACAATGCAATACTTTTAAAGCCTTTAACCAATAACGTTATAGAACATTAGTATATGCAAATATTTTGCATAATATCTTGGAAACAACCCGAGATCTTATAGTTTTAATAGAACTAAATTACTTTGTTCTAGAAAGATAATCGTTATTGCGTAATTTACATAATTTTGAAATATTAATAATATGCAAAATTATAATTGTTTTTAGAATTGTTTTACAATTAACTACACGTAGGAACAAATAGAAGAAAAAATGGTTGAAACACAATATCTTGTTATTATTCAATAAACTCTTTTTTGTCGATCTACTTTTTTTTTTAAATTTACTATATTCGATGTTCATTATAATGAGTTTTATATGCTTGATAAAAGCATGATTAGTCATTAGAATGATTATACTATAAATGTAATTATACATCTCAAATTGTCGTACACAGTTATTTTTTAACTTTATTAAGAAGGAAATAATTTTTTCATATTTTCCGCTTTTGTACAAATTATTGTTTCACTTTTTTTCCGTTTCCTTTCTAAACAGACCTTTCCGTAGTACTATGGTAAATTCTTAAGATTCCATGAGAAAATCTAGAAATACTTTCCGTATCACCAACAAAAGGCTCAAACCCCTGATAATTCAGATATAAATAAAATGCGTATATTCAAATTTTCCAAATTCATTGTCTTATCGATACTTGTTTATAACATATATTAATTAACTTAATAAAATGGAAATTATAAATACAAATGATAAAAATTCTTTTGATCCAACACCAAGATTAAAATCTAGTCCTATACCAATTAAATTTATTTCTTTTAATTGGCGTGATATTAATTGTATTTATTGTGGAGAAAAATATATTGATACGCTTTTTGTTTCACAAAAATATTGTAAAAAATGTTTATCACGTTATATTAATGATATGACTAATAATAATATATACTTGGACGTATATATTACCACAATGGACTTAGAATGTAGTGAACATGAAATAAGTAGGACAAATGTACCACAAAGTATTGGAAATTGTGTGAGAATTTTATGTTTTAAACAAATAAATGAACCTATTAGATATTTTAGTCATCGTGGAAAAAAAAAGATCTCACTCTATACAATAAGGTGATTTAAAGTGAAAAATATTGTAAATTATGTGGAAAGTCATTATATCAAGGAACAGGAACAGATTACTATAGACTTAAATTATGCTCAGATTGTTATCTAATTTCTTCTGGATCGATAGAATCAACCTTCGTTAAAAAGAAAATTTCAATTTTTTACTTACCATGGTGGTATAATGATCCTTTGTGCGATATTTGTTATTTAGAGTTAACATTTACATCAGACTGTCAAAAGTATTGTGAAAATTGTTATATATTTTATGTTGGATGCAGATATTGTTTAACAACTAACATTATTTTTGGACCTACGGATCAATCTCAATGTAAAAAATGCAAAAGAATATCGCCCATAAATAGTAATTTTGATGATTTTCTTTTTAATAATAATCTTATAATATGCGATAATTTAGATTATTTGAAGTTAGCCGAATTTGAAAATATTGTAAAAAACATTAATAAGTATTATGTGCAAAGTGAAATAATTAGGTCTATATTTAAAGAAAAAAAACAAGTAAAACAAAATAGTAATAAGTGGATACCATATTCTCAATTTAAAGATGTAAAAGAAATGACAAAGGGGGGATATGGTACTATATATAAAGCAACTTGGTTTAAATATGGCACGCATTGGTTAAATAAAAACGAAACTGTCATTTTAAAAAGATTTGAAAATTCTAAAAATAATGGCAAATATTTCTTAAATGAGGTAAAATATTTTAAAATATTTCTTACATAATATATTTTAAATGAACTAAATTTTTATCCTTAAATTTAAATAGTTAAAATCATGTAATCATTGTTTTGAAGACAAAACGGGTTATATTATCGAAACTTATGGCTTTGCAAAAGATCCTGAATTAGAGGATTATATATTAGTTATGAAATATGCACTAGGAGGGGATTTACATAAGCATTTGCAGAATAATTTTGCAAGTATTACATGGGATGAAGGAAAATTACGTATTTTATATCAAATCTCAAAGGGGTATTTATATTTTATATATTTATTAATCTTCTTTAAATTTAAGTTATTAATTTTTTTTATTTTTTAGACTTGAAACTATTCATAATAAAGAATTTATACATCGAGACTTCCATAGTGGAAACATATTATTTGATTTTAAGTTAATTTTAAGTAATTGGAAAATTGGAGATCTAGGATTATCACAAGCTGTAAATAGTAAATCATCAAATAACGAAGTATATGGAGTAATACCTTACATTGCAACTGAAATATTTAAAGGATCAGAATTTTCTAAAGAAGCTGATATTTATAGTTTGGGTATGATAATGTGGGAACTTACAACAGGTTGTAAACCTTTTGATAACGTTAAACATGATCATCATCTTATTTATAAAATTCTTGATGGAGAACGACCTAAAATTACGGAAGATACACCAGAATGTTATGCTGAATTAATAAAAAGTTGTTGGGACCCTGATCCTAAAAAAAGACCTTCTATAAAAGACATTTGTTTGACTTTTAATAGGTGGACATATGAAAGAGTAAATGAGGAAGAATTTAGCCAAGCTGAAGCAAAAAGAGCGAAATTAATAGAATCAAAGAAGATTGGGCCAGAATTTGCTGAAAAACGTCATTTAGGAGCTATTTATACAAGTAGACCATTAAGTGCTTTAATTTCTGACTGTTCGTCCACATATTCATTTTCAACAATTTCATTTGGTAAGCGAGGTATTTCAAAAAAAAACTTAAATATGTCATCTATAAACTGAAACATGTTATAATCCTTAGATTCCAATTATATCTCAGAATTAGAAAATAATAAAGGCACTGAAAGGTATTTAAAATAAAAAAAAAATTATTTTAAATGATGTAATTAATTATTCGAATTTATTAATTTCCGTTTAGTTTATCACTACAAAATCTAAATTCTAATTACATCTCAGAAGAATTAGAGCTTGATATAGACATTGAAAGGTATCTCAAATAAAAAATATTTTTAAATGATACAACTAATTATTTGAATTTATTAATTTTTTAATTAATTTACCATCGCTCTACAATTCAAAATTTAAATCCTAGATATATCTCAGAAGAATTAAAGCTTGATATAAACACTGAAAGGTATTTAAAATAATGATAATAAATGTTTTTAAATGACACAACTAATTAGTAGTATTTAATTTACCGTACAATTTTTTATTTAGATCACAAAATTTAAGTTCTACAATTCAAAATTTTTCAACCTCTTTAAAAAAAAGAAGCAATGTAGAATTTTTAAATGTAGCACCTCATAATAATAGTGGTAAATATTCATTTGGCTCTATGTTATTTTATTTCTTTCGTTTTAATCAATTACATTAATATTTAATTTTTTTCATTAAAATCAAATATAAAATATTATATATAGGAAAACGTATTAAAACTAATTTTAATTATCCATAGAACTAATAGCAGAAGCAAAATATTTCGTTATTCTGCAGATACAGAGTATGATATAGAGATATTTAATAATTTTTTATTAGACTTTCTCACTATTTAAAGAAATAATATGATATTTATTTTAAGACTTGAATTTGTAATTTTTTATTTCATATACTACTAGAGATTACGAATGAATTGTTTATTTTTTTTTTTACATTTATATTTAAAGTAACTGTTTATTAAATATGTTGGAAGTCACCAATATTGTAGCATAATCTTGTACTTTTTTTAATTTTCCTGAAAATCAATTTTATATTCTTTTCTGACTTTCGCACAATTTTATAAAAAAAATGGATTTTTCAAAAAATATTAATGGATAATCAAATTTACTTGAAGCTTAAGGTGGTGAACATAGTATGATTGTACGAATGAACCCTTGGAATGAATCTTTGTATTATTAGTAGATTCTAGTATTTTATTCTCAATTAATGGATTTTGAGATTATTGCAAAGCACTTGAAGAGCATATTTCTTTCAAGAGTATTTAAGTATCACAATTACATTTAAATGCCTCGACGACAAGCCCCTCTTGTACATCGCAACATTGTTATGGCGGGTGTGATGATGAAATTACAGTTAAAGGAAAGGAAATACAAAATTTTGTATTAGTTGTAAAAGAGTTGTGCAATCTGCTCAATCATAATAGAACATCCTATATCAATTATTTATAATGCAAAAAAAAAAGAACAAATGAAATATCTTAGTAAATCACTTCTAATGAATTATACAAAATTATGAAAAATGCAAACTCAACTAATGAATTAATTAAAGAATTGAAGAATTTGCTAGTGAATCAAATTTTGACTACAAATAAATCTATTGTGGACTTAAAACATTTTTCTATAGAAAAATATTTTCAGTTGAAAATTTATGTTATACCACCGGGAACACTATATAATCTTTTATATTGTAATTTTTACGTATAATTAATTGCAATGATGTCTACTTACACAGTTTCTATAAAATTAGTATAACAAATCTAAATAGTTTCTTGAAATATATTATGGTAATTATAATTATTATAAGTCTCCAACCTATTATACATTAGTTAATAAATTAAAAAATTTTTTATTTCTTACCAAATTATATTATTAATTTTAAGATAATAATCAGTTTAATTTTACGCAGTCGTGGCGTTCAAGGAATGACTTTTTCAAAAGGTGGTTTATTATAATGAAGAAGTAAATAAATTGATTTATTTTGATTTTACTCCTACTTCTTCAGATATCCAATCTTAATATTATCAGTGCATCAGGTATTTTGTTGGGTTTTTGGTAATATAAACGAGTAAAGCACTAAATTCATTAAATAAGTGATGCAATCATGCAAATTTTAACGACGAGTAGGTCTTATATATACCACAGTATGTCTATTCCATACAGAGTAACAACATGACAAAAAGGACTGAAGAAACACTTTCTTTGCTTACCCAATTATTGAGACTTCTGGTTAAGGCCGGGCAAAAAAAAATTTAGATTCTCGTGACCCGGCCGGTCAGTTTTTCGAAAAATGGAAATTTTTTTAAAAATTTTTATCACGTGATTTTAAGTTTTTTGGCCAATGTGTATAAAAAAATTTCACATATAAAAAATTTTTACATATATAAAAAAAAATGCCGGTCATTTTTAAAATTTTTATGTCACGAGAATCTAAAAATTTTTTTTGCCCGGCCTAATTAGTAGTCATGTATAATCCTAGTCTAGTTTTACTAAACTTTTTTTTAAAAGAATTGGTGGGATCAGTTGTACCTTTTTTTTTTGTAGGTCTCTCTTCTCATAATTTTTAGGATCCACGGTTGAAGAAAGTGGTGTGTATTAACGGTGCTGTTAGGTGTTTGTAGGTAGTTGTAGTGCGTTTTTCCTTTCTTTTCTCTGCGTCCTAGGGTTTTTTTAGCTTTAGCTTTTTCCCTCCCCCCTTTTTTTTAGTCATTTTCCAGGTCCCCATAGGTATTTTTTTTTTTTTCGTGTTCTTATTTAAATTTTTTATTTTCCGTTCTCTGGCGGCACATTCTGGGTATGATTGTGGATCTGTCCCGTTTTGTATCCTTCAAAGATCAGATGTTATTGCCTGTTGTAGCGGTTTTTTTGTTTGTAATCATGTTTGTTTTTACTGCATATTTTATGGTTTTAGCATCCTGTACTTCAATTTGATTCATCTGCCAATAAAAATAAAAATAAAAATAAATTAGAATTTTTTTTTCCTGCTTGACATAAAATAAGTTTGATTTTTTTTTTATATAATTTTTTTTAGATATGTATATCCATTAGAGCCTATAAGGGAATATAAAATACTAATAAAAAAAAAATAAATAGCATCCAAAAATATTTTAATTAAATTTTTTTGTCTTACATTAGCTGATACTTAAGTATAGTAAATATCTGCGCATAAAACAATTGATTATTTCAGTATAATACAGTATCATCACCATTATGAGCATTGTAGTCGCATTTTCAACATCATTATTATGAAAATGAAAAAAAAATAATACTTAAAAAATTTTAATATAAAAAAAGCCATATTTATGATATAGTCACAAATGTATCAGACAACGCAATTACAGTATTGTAGATGTATTGCAATTTCGTATTAACGTACAATGCATTGTTACGTTACTAAAATAACAGCGTGATACTATAGTGAAAGCGATGTCATAAAATCACAGGTTTCAGCAATATTTATTTTTTTCGCAGCTCAATAAAAGGACTCTTTATGTACTGATATATTACATGAATGAAACCTTTCACTAGAAGCAATACAACATATTAGTTTTATAGATGATCACTTACAATAATATATATTTTATCGAGTTTTTAATTATCATTAACCTTGGTGTTTATCTTAATAATATAGGATTCCCTATAATAAATTTATTCCGTGTTTTTTATTCTGTTATTTCCGTAAATGTATTATATTCACGCCTCGAAATGTATAGATTTTTAGTTATTTTTCCGTAATATAGAAATTACGGATAAATCTTTTACAGAAATGATATCTTCTAACAAAAATGTTAATTTTTCGTTACTTATAAAGATTGATCAACTGGTCCTAATAAATATTGTGTATTTGCATCAAAAAGATTTTTTTCAACTTCAAACTTGCCAAAATTATTAGAATTTAGAACATTTTAAATAATGAATTTAAAGATGTGATTTTATTTTTGTAATTTTTAGAATACACAAACGATAAAATACAGATAGGTATGGCACGTAATTTAAAACAACATGTTCTAAAACAGTTTTCGTTTTATTATATATAAATTGCTAAATTTAAGATTTAAAGCATTAAGCTTATAATATCGAAGTGTTTTAAAACATTTTTTAACACATGTTTTAAACCGTCGAAATCGTTTTAAAACATGTCCCTAAATACAGAATACAAGACAAAATATGTAATAGTGATTCGAATATTAAGTAATTTGATAATATTATAACACAAGTAAACTAACGAAATATATATATATATAGTACAATGTATTATTACAAATAAATAGAATTTAAAAGACAAATTATAGACAAATGATTATTTAACAATACATAAATGTTTAATTTCCAATCAGATCTGACGATAAAATTCGTAAATGTAAAGAATTTTATTTTATTACATAATTGTACAGCCACCAGATTCACCCGGTTTTTCAGTGGCTTCAGCAGTTGCGATAGATGGAATGGATAGTTTAATGGTAACTTCAGTCTGATTCATTTTGTTAGGAAATTTAAAGAATTTAATTGATTTTAAGAGTTTGAATTATGCGAAAAAAACTATCAAAGTATTTTTTCTTTTTTTTTTTGATTGAATTTTAATTGATTGAATTTTAATTTTTTGTCTTCTTAAGAAAATTTTTTGCTAATTTATACTTTTTCATACTTTTGGATTGAAAAATGTTTAATATTGTGTGCATTTATGCATGTCTCCGTGTTTGAAAAAAC